TCCAAGAGTTCCAAGAGTTCCTAGGGTTCCAAGAGTTCTAAGAGTTCCAAGAGTTCTAAGAGTTCCAAGACTTCCTACGGTTCTAAGAGTTCTAAGAGTTCCAAGAGTTCTAAGAGTTCCATGAGTTCTAAGAGTTCCAAGAGTTCCAAGAGTTCCTAGGGTTCCAAGAGTTCTAAGAGTTCCAAGAGTTCTAAGAGTTCCAAGACTTCCTACGATTCTAAGAGTTCCAAGAGTTCCAAGAGTTCCAAGAGTTCCATGAGTTCTAAGAGTTCCAAGAGTTCCACGAGTTCCTAGGGTTTGAAGAGTTCTAAGAGTTCCAAGAGTTCTAAGAGTTCTAAGAGTTCCAAGAGTTCTAAGAGTTCCAAGAGTTCTAAGAGTTCCAAGAGTTCTAAGACTTTCTATGGTATAATGAGTTCGAGGATTTGAAGTTTTTGGAGGTTATAGCAATCTTTAGAGTTCAGGGTTCTTGAAGAGTTCTGAACTCTTAGAACCCGGCCACTGCTGTTTATTGAATAATAGAACAAGTCAGAGTTGAATTAGTTAATGTGCCGCATAGCTATCTTCCTATGCAAACTTCCTACGAGTTCATCTTAGAATGCTTTTATACGTCACGATGAAGTGCCATTCTTTCAGAAAAGGGTCAGTGAATCCATAGGATGAGCGCTACTTGCTGAGCTTGTATACTATAATGCAGAGCCCTGAAGAGTGTTTCATTATTTCATTAAATAAATAACACGAAACGCGTCGGCGAAATGAAACTGTGCATTTATTTAATTATTTTAATTTAAGCACATGTTAATATCTATATAATTTGATTTTTGACAAAGTCGATTGCTGAGAAGCAAGAGTTCCGACTAACATATTGATTTGTCTTTTCGTTAAAGGATAGATTGATCTGTTTTCAATTGATTTAGTTTCACCCACACCCACCCAACCACATCCTATCAGAAAAAATAAACTGATTCAAAAGTAAGCAAATACCAACAGCGAGCACGGTTTTGAGTATCATATCAGTTGAGTTAT